CGGCTAGGTCATGATGCGGGTGATGTTGTTTGTCGTCGCCGGTCCCGCGTGCTCGTGCAGTGACGTCGCTCTGTTATGCCGCCGCTCTTCTTTCCAGCGTGCCTGTACCGTTGCCGCAGTTCGTGGCCCTATGTGCTACTGCTGCTTACTGGTGGTCGGCGGAAGGCGCGGTGGAGGCGCTCGCTGCCACCCGGCTCCACTTGGGCGGCGTCATGTTCGGCCTTAGCGGGGACCTGTGCACCGCTGTCTTTGCTGCTGCTCCCCGCCGCTGCACGTTGTTGCTGCCTATCGGCTAGCTGCAGCCGGCCTTGCCCGCTGCGCCTAGAGGAGTGTCGTCGTCGACCGACGTGAGAACATGGGACGGGGATTGAGTTCGTCATGTGCGTCGAGTTCGTGTGGCAAGCATGCACATAAGGGGATATCCGTCCGATGTATTGTGCATATAATATGTTTATCATTGTAATTATTGTTTTTGCGCTAAAAAGTGACAAAAGATCAAATGGCAGACTAAAAAGTGGCAAAAGATTAATTACAATATAAGCAGGGGCAATTTGTCAAAGTTCAAAGTAAATAGTGGCTGAAAATCAAATCGCCCGAGAGCGGAGAGGGGCGAGGGGGTTGCGGCCGGGAAAATATCCAGTGATACAGCCTATCACATGATACCATGCTCCGGGACTGTGTGGCCTGTTGGATCTACATCCAAGGTACATGATCAACGCACTTGTCATTTACACATGCCTCTCTGGTACATTTGCATCTGCCCCGAGACAGTTTCTCCTTGCGAAATCACAACAGTCTCCGCATCTCTCCTCAAGCTGTCCACCGTTCTTAGCTATACCAACAAGCTTTAATGATCTAAACCCTCTTATATTTCTTTACGAAGGGAGTACTAAACATTGTACCTTGGCTGGTCTTATCTGAATCAAATCAAGATGCGTGTATTAATCAAATTTGCACCACAATGTTAAGTCATGTTCGGTTACTTCGCAGTGATAGGCGAATAAAACTATTGCTTGCATTATGTTTAGCACATGGTACATGGCTATATATATATTGATACAAGCCGGCTTAGACTAGGTATTACAAACCGACTTGGACTAAGAAACTTGTGATCCAAGGAATAGTCTAACATCCCCCCGCAGTATCAACGGGAGGCTCGATGACGTTGAGACTGGAACGTATGTCTTGAAATGGCTTAGTAGCAAGTCCTTTGGTGAAGATGTTAGCAAATTGAGTCGTAGTAGGAACATGGAGCACCCGAACTTGTCCAAGAGCCACCTTCTCTTGAACAAAATGAATATCAATCTCAATGTGTTTGGTCCAGCGATGCTGAACAGAATTTCCAGACAGTAAACAGCTAAAAAATTATCACAATATACAATAGTAGCCTGCTCAATCGGTCGGTGTAGTTTTTTTTAGGAACGGTCGGTGTAGTTTTCATATAGAAATACATATCATAAGAAAATGAAAACCGGAAATATTTTGAGATGACAATTTTTTGGAGATGACTTTGAAAACACCTCTCAAGAACATCAATATGAAAGAGAGATTGGGAGGGATCAAGTACCCTAATCTCGCTGTTTGTACAAGTGTTGAGTTTGGTGCGTTCATGTATCAATGACCTCGTTGTTAGAAAAGATAAACAAATAAATTTATTTGAGCGGAAGAAGACCATCTTCCCCGTGAAAGATGTGCGAATCTTCCGCTGATTCAAACAGTCCATTATTTTCCGTGTTTGTATTTTGATTTCATGTTTTGCTCTCTGGTGTGGTGTCAGTAGGGGTGGAAAGTGGTAGCGGATAATCCGAAATATCCGATATTCGTATTCGAGAAAATGCCTATTCGTATCCGAAACATCCGCATCCGAACCAAAATGGAAATGGAAATTATCCGTATCCGAATTTATTAAACAAATAAAAAATAAAATATGGTAGGAGATTTTAACACAAATATGGATATGGAAGTGGATATATCCGTATCCGAATAAGATTATGAGAGGTAATTTTTAAAATTTTGGACCCAATATTCCAATTATCCAACATAAAAGCCAAATAAGTGGTCAAATTTTACTCTTTATATGATTAAACTTATAAATTATTATGCATTACAATAGTATTTATTCATAAACCTATTTATCATTGACTCACAAGTTGATTATTTCAGGTCACACAGCTATCGACTAATATACTTAAGCAATATGTTGATATTATTCGTATCCGTTCCGAATCAAGAAAATAACCGATACATATCCGTATTCGAATAATATCCGAGCCGCATCCGTATCCGATAACATCCGTATTCGGATTCGTATTCGTTTTGAAAATATGGAAATGGAAGTGGTAAGAGCACTATCCGATCCGCATCCGATCCGTTTCCACCCCTAGGTGTCACACAGGCACACCGGTTCTAATTATACAGACGCGTGCTCCCGTTTAAAGTGTGACCCGACCCATCATAAATTTAGTAAATACGACCAACACTCTGCGCGCCTCCGCCCTTCAGACGACATTTAAAAAGAAAATCATGACCAAACGACAAACACTATTGATTTTGATCATCACAAACCAAACACACCATGCATGACATGTCAGCTACTCTCTCCGTTCCTAAATATTTGTCTTTTTAGAGATTTCAACAAATGACTACATACAGAGCAACATGAGTGAATCTACACTATAAAATATGTCTATATATATACATCCGTATGTAGTAGTCCATTTGAAATCTCTAAAAGAAATTGAGGGAGTAGAAAATTGTCAGGGGAGTCAAATCCCCAATTGAATCCCTTTGATAGGCAATTACCCAAAAACATTATGCTCACTTTTATTGCCATAAACCATTTCCAAACAAGTAGTAACTCAAATTGTGTCAAATCCTCCATTACATCACCTTGATTGGCAGGCCCTTGAATCCTGCCCCTTCTTTAACCCCATAAAAACATTTCCAAACATTTGGGGTCAACACAGGATGGTGTGGTCAATATCAAATCCAACCCATGTCATGCCCACACATATAAATAGTCCACATCCTACCACAAACCTCTGAGCCAATAGATTAGTAGACAAAAGAAAAAGAAAAAACCAAACCCACCCGTGCGCGCTCGGAGGCCGCGCCGCACCCGCACCGGAGCGTCGGTCCGTCGAACACCTAGCAGGCAGCCATGGCCCTCCACCTCCTCACTCCCACCCACCTCCACCACCCCTCCTCCCCCCTCCCGCGCCGCCGCGCCGCCGCCTCGGCCACAGCCACGCTCGCGCACCCACTCCGCGCCCACCCCCGCCTCCGCCTCCGCCTCGCCACCGCCGCGTCCTCCCCGCGCACCGGGCCACGCCGCGCCGGCATGTCGGCCATCCGCAGCTCGCTCATCGACCCGGACGGCGGCGCGCTCGTCGACCTCGTGGCGCCGCCGGGGAGCCGCGCGGCGCTGCGGGCCGAGGCGGAGGCGCTCCCGCGGGTGCGGCTCGCGGCCGTGGACGTGGAGTGGGCGCACGTGCTCGCCGAGGGCTGGGCGTCCCCGCTGCGCGGCTTCATGCGGGAGCACGAGTACCTCCAGTGCCTCCACTTCAACTCCCTCCGCCTCCCCTCCGGCGGCCTCGCCAACATGTCGCTCCCCATCGTGCTCGCCGTCGACGACGCCGCCAAGGACCGCGTCGGGGCCGCCCCCGACGTCGCGCTCGCCGGGCCCGACGGCGAGCTCCTCGCCGTCCTCCGCAGGTCCGCCCCTGCCTCCTCCTCCTCTCATCTCCACCTCTCAGTTCCTTATGCTGTTATTCTGTGGATTACGTTACCGTCGTTCATTTTTCACCCGTCTGCTTGTTCACGCGCGCTCCATTTTCATGGTTCTTGGCTCGACCGTAAACATTTGCTGCAGCTTTCGTGCAAAAACAACATTGAATAATACTTGGCGAAAATTCCTTCCGAGTTTATCGGGCTTGCAAATTGACAATTGGATGAAATTGTGTACTTTTGTGGCCTTGTAGGCGTCAGTTTTGATATGTAATGACGAGTTGATTCATTCCCAATAATTTAGAGAACGTAGGATGCAATGTTGGCTCTACGATTTAAATTCAAGGTCAAAAATTTGGCACAAAATACAAAAACGACTTATAAACCATGACGGAGGTGGTACTTAAAGACTTTATCATCACAAGTTCACGGCCAAAGAATATGGTGCCTCTGTTGTCTTTTTCGTCGCCCGAAAGGCCGAAATTACTCTTGTCCTTCCATTGTGGGAGAATTTAGCATCTTATCATTGTGGGAAAATTTAGTGAAGCATCTTAGCTTTGCTGTCTGTTCGTTCTAGTCCACATTTTTTAGCAGGTTTGGGGGACCATGGCACCTAGCACCACTAGCAGCTTAGCAAAAGCTCAATGGATGAGAATGTTTGAACAAAAAGATGCTGCCACCCTTGACAGTGCCGTCCCTTTCATGTCACTCTCATAGTGATTGCATAAGGATTGCCTTGTGATGCATATTTGACCTCGTGCTTAATTAACAACTTGATTTTAGTAGCCCCATGTGCCTATGCGACCAGTCATTAATTGCTATAGCATTTCTTTATCCACTGTAGGCCAATTCTTCTTATTTTTTATAAAGTGGAAAGGGGATAACTGTTCATTTTAAAGTTGAAGGTATCTGTGCTTATTCATGATTAGGTGGTTATTGGAGCAATGCCTTTTTTTTTTGGTGTCCGCCGACTTCAAAAGTAGAAATTGACACATGTGATGTTCTCCTTGTGACATTTTTTTGCCTTTCTTTTGAGTACTAAAGCATCCTATCAGCACTTTTAAGTCGCCCCATTGAACTGTATTTGAACTATGCCTGTTCCAGAGAATCTAAGCATATCTGAATCCTAAGTAGTCATTTCTTTGCAGTAGCTCTGAATTACCATTGTAGTTATATTTATACACAAATCAGGTCTAAAATATAATATAATTTGGAGAAATTTACCACTCCCTCACCGGTTTCTGATGATTGGCCAGTTAACGGTCGTTTTTCTTGAATTCAAATTGTCACCAATTTATCTGGCATTTCCTACAACTTTTAACTCTACCAACATATCTGGTTGAGTACTTCAAAAATTGTACCAAAACAACAAAAAATTGTCAGTTCTCAATTTTGGGCAAAAACAGACACTGGCCAGGGACCTGGGCAGTTGGCACCGCTTCTCGAACCCTTGTACAAATGACCTCTACATGGTTTGGTTGAATTAAGCTCAGCATAGCTTTACTTCGGGGTAAATTTTAAGCATCATAACCTTTTTGGTTAACTTCAAGTCTTCAACACATAAATATTTTGGGCTATCTAACCACAAAACTTCATAATAAATCTGATTGTACAAAAAGTCAAAAACTCGTTTATGTGCTGATCCCTCACATCATATGTGTATAAGAAGCTTTTTGTTTGGATTTACTTGTGGACCATGAAGTAGTAATCATGATGAGATTTTTGATGCGTCAAGATTTTGTTTACAAATTCATGTCATTTTTACCCTCTGTTTTATTTTCTGTCATGATTCACTTTAGAACAGTTCCCTTCTTAAGTGGCTTAACTGCTAGGTAGTAGCAACCAATCATATATATGATCATATGCTAGATGAAACTTAACTAACATTGTGACAGCACTTAAATGACTAGCGAAATTTGTCCTTTGTGGTATTATTTTTGTGTCCAATTCTAACGAGGTTTTTACTGATATGTACATTATTATTTTATCAGTGTTGAAATATACCCTCACAATAAAGAAGAAAGGATTGCAAGAACATGGGGGACAACTGCGCCTGGCTTACCTTATGTCGATGAGGCGATAACACCAGCTGGGAACTGGCTGATTGGTGGTGATCTGGAGGTGTTGCAACCCATTAAGTATAACGATGGCCTCGACCATTACAGGCTTTCACCCCAGCAACTTAGGGACGAATTTGACAAGCGTGGGGCTGATGCTGTATTTGCGTTCCAGTTGAGAAATCCAGTCCACAATGGGCATGCACTGTTGATGAATGACACTAGAAGGCGTCTCTTGGAAATGGGTTTCAAGAACCCCATTCTACTGCTACACCCCTTGGGTGGTTTTACAAAAGCTGACGATGTCCCACTGCCTGTTCGAATGGAACAACACAGCAAGGTAATAAATTTTGTTTACACAGATTATTATCAGTTTGGATAATGCAAAATGCAAACCTTAAGTCCTACTGCATGCCAGGTCTTAGAAGATGGAGTCCTTGACCCTGAGACCACTATCGTGTCTATATTTCCCTCTCCAATGCATTATGCTGGTCCAACAGAGGTGCAGTGGCATGCGAAGGCAAGAATTAATGCCGGTGCTAATTTCTACATAGTGGGTCGTGATCCAGCTGGCATGGGCCATCCAACAGAGAAGAGAGATCTGTACAACCCAGACCATGGGAAGAAAGTCCTAAGCATGGCCCCCGGTTTGGAGAAACTCAACATATTGCCCTTCAAGGTATTTGATGGATAGATGTGTCCTTTCAGATTTATTAATATTGTCAAAGTTGTCCTGTTTTTCTTTAGTTGGATCAGCTTTAATGCTTGTAATTTATTAAAATTGTTTCCACCTTTTAATTCTAATGCCCTTAACACATATCTTATTAGATTCACATATACATTTTGAATCTCTCCAGGTAGCAGCATACGATACGGTAGCGAAGAAGATGGCTTTCTTTGAACCTTCACGCAGTCAAGATTTTCTGTTCATCTCAGGAACCAAGGTAAGCGTTTCATTTAGTCTCAGGGGAGAAATGCTCGCTCTATGGTACCAAACTGGAGATACTTTACCTGCTGCTAACAACTAACCTACAAATCAATCAGATGCGCACTTTCGCCAAAACCGGAGAGAACCCTCCTGATGGTTTCATGTGCCCTGGTGGGTGGAAGGTTCTTGTTGACTACTACAATAGCTTGCAAACGGAAGGAGCTACCACCCCCGCCACCGCTACTGTATGAGACAAGCTGCTGCATGGCTTTGAGATCATTTGTTCGCCGGCCAGAAATGGTGAACGCAGGGGATTTCAAACCGTACCTTCTTTTTTCCGCCCTTTCTTTTAAGTTTTTTTGTAGGTCGCTAGTTTATTGATGCCATCAGATCCTCCAATTGTTCAAATTTTTTCTTTCAAAATAGAAAGAAAGATTTTGAAGCTTGGCACTGAAACTCAAAACTGTTGACAGATCGAGCTGTAACCGCACCGCAGATTCTGTTATTATCCTGTGATGACTCTGACAGTCCAACTAGCCAATAAAGAAGTTCATTGCAATTGTGGGAGCTCATCCAAGATCTGCGAACAAGTTGAGTCTTCGGTAAGTGATGGCATCAGGCCATTATCGGAAAGTTTGTTGGAGTGTAACCAAGGACATGTTTGGTCGGCATCCACGCCTTGTCACACTTTTTTCTACCAAAGCGCGGAAAAGTGTTTGGTTGTATCCACGGTCATAGCATGCCACACTTTCTTAGCCACATACGCCGCTTGTTATAGACTCCGTTGCTAACCAACTTAGGCCACAAGCAATTCGGCCACCAAGAAATTTGTGGCATAAAAAGTGTGGCAAAATGCGTAGGGGCAACCAAACATGCCTGACGGTGACGCTTGTTCAATTGTCGGACATGTTGGGTTGTGCCGGCAAAAAAAAAAGTCGGCGAAAAATATTATCTTGCGATTTACCCCCTCAGTAAATTAGTATACGACGTTCTAGAGACTTGAAGTTTACAAAGGGAGCACTTTTGAAGCTTCTACACAAGAAAAGGGAGGGAATGGATTGCCAACCCAATAGCCGGTCCCGGGGACAAAATAATGTGAAATTACGGAAAAGATAAGAGATCTAAATTTGAGACCTAGACCCGAGCAATCTGCGCAAAATCCAGCTCTCTAAACTAAAATAGCGATCTAAACGCTCTTATATTAGTTTACAGAGGGAGTAGTACACAAGATTTTAGGGTAATTTTTTTTTTTTTTTACAAATTTGACTGAAGGAGAAGGGGGATTCTGAACCTGACGGTAGACACTTGCGAGGCCGGAGAGGGGCGGCGAGAAAAAGAGCAGGGAGAAAGAATATACCTTTCCCGTCTCCCCGGATCCCTTCCGTGCTGCCCCCAAATCTCCTCTCCTCTCCTCTCCGCTCCCAAATCAAATCCCCCATCACCACCCCCACCTACCCCCACCGCCGGCGCGAGCCGCGAGCGCGAGCGGAGCGATGGCCGGCGCGGGATCCTCGTCGGGCGGGTCGGGCGGCGGCGGGGGCCGGGAGGGCGACTGGGACTGCGGCGGCTGCGGCAACCGCAACTACGCCTTCCGCTCCCTGTGCAACCGCTGCAAGCAGCCGCGCCTCCTCGTCGACCCCAACACCCCGCGCGACTCCAAGTGGCTCCCCCGCGCCGGCGACTGGATCTGCAACGGTACGGCCCCCCGAACCCCACGCCCACGCCTCCCCTCGCCTTCCCCCTCTAGGTAGAGGTAGAAGCACAATCTTTCCTACCTTGGTCACCGCTCTAATGAAATCAAGTGGAGAGGGAAACCGTAGAGCAAGCCTGGAGGTGGCGTAGGCTCGAGATGTATTGTATCATGGGCTAGGGTGTGAGTGATATGAGATGGGCGCCGATGCCTCTCGGGGCCCCCTGTTAATTTAAGCTCGTGATCTCTCTCGGCGCATTGCATCGGAGGTTTAACCGTTCAAGGGTTATAGCATTTATGTTTTATTTGATTATCTTAATCCTGTTTAGGTGTATTTGGGCTTGTTAGAGCCTATGATCATAGTAACTGCAGTATATGGTTGTGATATAATTCTGAGGTCTGGAGGCTTGGGTAAGGAGTTGGTACTCGAAAGTGAATACTACACGCTATTTAAGCGATTTTTGCTTGTGGCAAATAACATGTGTGGGATGTAGGATCCGTGCTAGTAATTTCTTACCTTTTGTTCTGGAAAACTTTAATTGCTGTTGATGTTTATTTTACTCATTGTATATGTACGTATGCTTGTAGATGATATTAGACAAGTACCAGCAACTTTTCCGAGTAAATGACTAGTGTGTGTGTGCTTATTTCTTTTTTGGGTGTTGTGCGGGCTGGCTGGTTGCCTTGGTGTGCGTGTACTTCGGATGTGCGTTGTCGTGCTGCCTGGTGTGGTGGTGGTCGTGGTGGTGGTGGTGGTTGGTTTATGCGGCAAATGGATGAATGAATAGGTTGCAGTAACAATAATTATGCATCCAGAAAGAACTGCAAGAAGTGCAACCTGCCCAAGGAGGAAGCAGCGATGCCGCAGTTATCAATGGGAGGAATGATGCCAGCCTATGCAGATTATATGGCCAGGGTACAGGAGATTGCCAATGCTGGGTATAAGATGAACTTTGGCAATCCAGCTATGCAGCAGCAGCTACTTGCAAATGCAAACTGGCCCTATGGGATGGCTGGTAGATATGGTATGCAGTCGTCTGCTTGGCCATTCGCCGGCAACAGCACAAATCAGTTTCAAGGTGTTCCAAAGGACTGGCGTAGTGGTGACTGGCTCTGCAGCTGTGGATTCCATAACTACTCATCTCGTGCTCAGGTGATCACAATGTTAATGTACTTGCCTGTCATATCTTAATTGTCAATCATAATGGTTGCTGGCAAATATTGTCCTGCCTTCTGAATTGTAATAAGAATGGGCTTTATGTATTATATGCCGATTGTGGCTAACTCTAGTTTAGCCCTGATACTGCCACTTCTCAGGTCATCATTAGAGCCTTTAATATGTCTGATCTTGTTGCTTTTCTTATCATCTAAGTTCCTTCACCTACTTCTGCATTTATTCTTAAAATTGTTCTTTGCTCACTTGCATATTACGCTAATAACTTTCCTTCCCCGTTGTTTATTGTCTATTTAGGCTTGTTTGGCATTGATTATGATAATCTAGCTTTTCCAACTCGCTTTTTTTTCTTCGTATTTTACTGTTTGGTTAACCAGCTTTTTTCTGCTTCGTGGCTAGTTTTTCTGCAGTAGATTATAAAATAAGTTAAGCAACAACATAGTGTAGCAACTTCACACTGAGCCTTAGACATGAACTCTAGTTTTGGTTTCTCTGCAGTATGCCTTTTCTACATTGAGTGTACAGTATGATTGACCTTATTCCTTGTTATTTTATCTTTTACAGTGCAAAGAGTGTAATGCACCTGTCCCATCAGGCATGGCCTCTACAACCATGAAATCCACAGGAGCAGATAGTTCTTCAAGTAAGACATCTCTGTTCTAATGTCCTACATTTTTTAAACTTGTACTCTTAACTGATGAAAAAATACCCCCCCCCCCCCTGAATTCCAGTGATTAGGGAACTATCTGATATACTTGCCTTTTCAAAAGGTTGTGTTATTCTTTGCCACCAGAAATAGGTTAATTAGTCTAGTACTCCCTCTGTCCCATAATATAGTGCACATTGGTTTCCGCAAAAGTCAATCTTGACAAATTTTATGAGAAAAACTACAATACAAAATATATACTATATGGAAATATATTTCATAATGAATGTAATGATATTGATTTGGTATTCTAGATGTTGATAAATGTTTCTATAAATTTGGTTGAAGTTTACTAAATTTTACTTAAAAAAAATCTTATACGCGATATATTATGGGAGTATGGGACAGAGAGGGAGTAGTACATGCACATCCAAAAGTACACTATTTTACACAAGTGAATATGTGATACATCAATCATCTTTTGATTAAATGAGTGAGTGTAGTCAGATGTTTCTTTGTACAAGTTCCCCATGATCAAAGTAAGTTGGTAATACGCTCGAAGAAAAGTTGATAATAGCCATATTCGCATTTTTGTTTTGTTTTCTGGATCTGTTGGCTTGGCTGCCATAGTTATTTATCTAACATAGTCCATCATTTATTTTCTTGACCACATTATGCATTATTTCTTTTACTTCATGTAGTATCACAATGGTATCCCTGTTGGCCTGTTGTAACATTTTGTGATTGGTATCAAACATGCAGTCCAATAGTTATATTGAAATTTCTTCTTGCTGCAGCAATGCAGCAGTAATGATTTATGTAAATTAGTTTTATCAATTATTTTTACTTAGTACACATTCTTTCTTGTGCTTCATGTAGTATCACAGTAGTAATTGGGGTCAACATGTAGTTTAATAGTTATCCTGAAATTCTTCTTGTTCCAGCATTAGGTAATAAGCGCTTGGCATCAGAGGAGCTTGCCAATGACTGGGATAATAAAAGGCTAAATCCTGGACATGCTAATTATCCACTTTCAGTATGTACTTGTGGGCCTTTTTACTTGTCATTGATTATTTACCTGATTATCACATGGCATTGATTCATTTCCAATTTGATTAAAGGCAGCAGGCTCAGATAATTTATTTATGGGTCAAGGTGCTGGAAACAATAATGGCCAGACAACTTATTCTGCATATGACAATGGAAACTCAATGGCATCTGGACAAATTCCAGGGATGTCTGGTGTAGTTGGCAAAGGGTAATACTTCTCATAGATTATAGATGCTCATATTACAAATTAAACTCATGTAGTAGGCCACTATACTTGTCTTAGAATGCTATCCTAATGGGTGTAACAACCTACAGGGAGATGACAAATGAAGAGCAGTTCAAATATGACCCCCCCCCCCCTATATAATTAAAATAGCAAATTATATAATTTTGAATAGGGTTTTCAGGTTTGAAGATATGAATATCTTTTTTATAGGAACTGAAAAAATAGATTATGAATCTGTGTCTGTTAATGATTAAATTTATAAGTATGTGGAAGGAAATTATACATGAATATACCTGGTCAAATTTTTTGAGAATGAGTGGGTGTTAAATAGATAGCCTGTGCATGTGTTTAAATATAAATTTGGGAGTGGTTGGCAAAATTATGTCCCTTTATGTCTTCTTGTTTTCTGATTATTTGCATGGTCGTTTTATGTTGGTAGCATAATACTCTCTCCGTCCCAAAATAAGTGTCTCAACTTTGTACTAACTCTAATACAAAGTTGTATTAAGTTTGAGACACTTATTTTTGGATGGAGTACAACTTAAATGGGTACTGGAGACACTCTAGTTGTTTTGGACTAACTCTTTAGTTGAACTATATGGAATCCCAGTGTCACAATCTTGATTGACCATTGACAAATGAATGTATCCTGAAAAGTACTGCCTTTTGCAAGTATTTATTATTAATTTTGTACTTGACATGAATAAGCTAGCTGAGTACATATGTTCTTGCACTTTATCAGAGCTAAATGGCGTGAAGGAGACTGGTTGTGCACCAACTGCAGCAATCATAATTACGCATCTCGTGCATTTTGTAACAGGTACTATGTCTTGGCTTCTTTTGTTCAAATTTGTGGCCTAGGCCATTACTGAATTGTTTTTGTGAAATTGCCCTTAGGTTCTAGTCTTCCCCTTTATAGAATGCATTTGCCAAGTGGTGGGGTAGATAGGGACTGTTTAGGATCTGTTTGAGTTTATCCTGGACTCAAGATGGAGGGTGAGGCCTCGCTGGCAGCCACGTTTCAAGAGCAGGACTTGGAGAAGGGGGAGTGGACATAGATTGGTTTATTCTTTGCTTAACTGATAATGGATACATGGTAGCTAATATTATTTACATAAATCTGTTCTGATAATTCCTTGAAGTAGAGCAAAATTTATTATTCCAACATAATGGCAAAAATATCACAAAACCATGCATTGAGCTTCATCTCATATAACTACGTATAGAGAGTCTCATCTTGTCTTATATAAAAAAAACCACTTGGCCGCATGAGCAATGTGCACCCCTCCTGTCATTGTCTATCTTGGTGTGATCGTTGGAACAGCATAGTTGCACATCCTCCATGCCAGCAGCATAGGTATCATCTATGGGTCAAGTTAGATCCAATAACCTTGACCATATCAAATCTGATTCATATCTAACTCAACCGAAATCTGTGCCATGTGTATGGGTAGAAAGAAATTTGGGAGGACTAAGATCAAATTTAGATTTATGTTTTCCACGTAATAATGTTTCAGCACCAATCCTGTCTTCATCATTTTAACCATTCTCAATGCCTACTGTCTCCTGTTTTACGGAAGCTGGTTTTGACCGCGGTATAAATCTCTTGTGTTGCAGATGCAAAACTGCGAAAGAGTCTTCAGTTCATCCGGGGGCGCTATAATAATAGCTTTGCTTGTACTTTTGCGACTAAATTGTTGAAGCAGGCGTGGAGTCTCCTGGTCCTGCTGCGGCTGATCGGTCGCTGCCACCACCAGGATTGTTGTTATGTTTGTGGTTTGGCCTTGCAGTGCTTATGCTGCTGTTAAGATTGTTCTATGTCAGAGTCTAATATTGTTTGTGGGAGTTTGCATTTGTTTATGCCGAGCACTAGAATAAAATGTTTCCTGTATGTCGAAGTGTACCATCTGTTTTTTTTTTGTGTGTGAGTGTGCAACGATTTGATTGGTTCTTCAGTACCTCGACAGCTATGATGTAATGTAATGCTGGATCTATTTCAAGCGACAATGCTGGATTTTATTGTTTTATGAATCGCTTTACCTTGTGATGATCTGTAATCCTGTTTCGCAGCTTTGTACCGTTGATATCGTTGTCATTTTAGAAACTTACTAAACATGTGACTGCTTTCAGACATGTTCTAACACATAAAAGCTAACATGCCATATCACAGCAGTAAGTTAATATTCAAACCATCACAGGGTAATCTTTTTTTAGATGCTTGAATTTTGAATGTAAAATTGAAGTACTCACAAGCAGTCTCATATAACAAAAGAATGAATTCATCATGTCTGTAAGGTAGGATGCTTTGAAAGGAAATTGCAATTTGGTTTCAGAAAGTATGGATGAAATTTCCGAACTGAGTTCGACGTATTTTTGCTGGTGCCCCATGTATGCACGGCACTTTCAGGAAGGAAGTTTATACCCTGCTTCGGAACTACTGAATGAGAAAAATATCAGAGCATGATAAAATTGAATGGAGATGTTATCAGAATCCCACCACAAATGCTCTTCAGCTTTAATTCCAACACACACAGCTCTGTTCTCTTCTCCCCAATGTACATCACTTGAACAACAGTTTGAGCTAAATTTCTACCGGAAAGCCTTTTATTGCGGTATAGTGAGCGACAACACGTCTGTGGGCACATCTTCCCTTGTTTGTACATTCATCTACACTCTACAACAGGATGCTCTCAAAGAATAATAATTGTATCTAGAACTAACGAATCAGACAATGTTGTTGATGCTATAGCTTGCGATCTCTGGATGACTCGAATTCTAGATAGGCTTGTGCCAACATTTCGCCGAGCCGGAGTTGAGCTTCTGTGGAGAGGTGCAGCTGGTCGTCGCTGAGCGGCAGGCCCATGGCGTCGACGAGAATCACGTTGGAAAGATTGATACTTTTCTGAGCATCTCTTACGATGTCGGTGTAATTCCCCTCCCCTGATGCAAGACCAACCTGGAACGAAGAAGAGTCATTATACGAGATTCTTATTCTCACCATGGACTAACAAAGAAAAAGTGCACTAATACGTAAGTAATATGTTGTTTAGAAGTGAATTGAGGAGTGTAGAATCAAGATCACTTCTGTACAGCTGTAAGAAAAAGAATCATTTCCGTACAAGCTTTGTGAAACTATGGGAGTAGTATATAACTGACACAGTTTTCAAGCACATAGATTAGTGTGCATGAATGCGCAGACCATTCCTTGTGGAAACTAATAATAAATCTTGTCTTTCACCATCTAGTTCTGTTATGTCTCGGTTGTGTGCAGTGAAAATGAGAGCATCGATCTCCGATGCTAGATGCGACCGACTCGACATTCACAAATACATCAGGCTCACAGATTCTAGACAGACAATGGAGTGACCACAAAACCACTACCTGGTTCTTGGTGGCAACATGCCCTTGTTTATAACGTTAGATGTTTGTAGGGCCATAATATAACTGGCGTATCATATATAGTATTATCATAAACTTATTGAGCTGGTCAGCAGTCATGTAATCTGCTCAGAAAGACCATACAGATAATCACATGGAGTCAAAGGCAAGAAAAACGACGGCAATATAAAAGGCAAGTTGGCACTAGGTGGTATGCTGTTGCTTTGGGTAAGGCATATCCAAAAATAGTTTGGCAAGATAGATTGCTGCACAATGCTTCAAGTTACGGGCAATGTACAAGCATCTGAATTTTCTTTTCTCCCGTGAGTGCTAGCACTAATCTGGTGGTGTTTGGCACTATGATATAGTGCCATTTTAAACGCAATAAGCTGGCAACTTTAGGTAGGACCACAGGAGATATTGTTTGTGGAAGGTCTGGTAGCTTAAAGGCTGTTGTCTTCCCAATTCTGATGGAGCATTGGCCAGTCTACCTGGGAGGCTCATTACTGAGATGAGGCAGAGTAGGTCACAAGTCACGTGTCTCGCAGCGGTCCAAAAGTGCTAGCACAACTTTGAATCGTTGGATTGGGCACATCATGACCGATATCAAACTCCACGGGTCAACCTAATTGACTGCAGGGGATCAATAACTCATCATTCCCTTATCATGGTTACACTGTCACGATATCGAGTTTGAGTGGTTGAACCATTCCACTGATGCCCATGTGGAACTCCAGAAGATCATTTAATCATTTGTAATAGAGATTTGGTGATGTTATGTTTCAGCCCATGTATCTGTCTTTAGTTAATATATGAATCATTCCATTGATGCCCATGTGGAACTCGAGAAGCTTTCATTTAATCAATTGTAAATAGATTTTGGTGATGTTTCAACTCATGCCTCTGTCTTTTTAATATAATAATAATCCACTACTAATCCACGAGTTGATTTATTAATAAAACATGTGAGGCATGAGGTACTGCTGACTTTGTTTTATGTCCATATCATAGTGATTGCAGGGTCTCGGTATGCCTCTGTACTTGATTTCCACACGACTAGAAACAATCTACGCAGGACAGTGGTAAAATAATGGTGGTGAATGAGATGGATGTGCGCACAATAATTCCTAGGGAAATCGCCGTGCTTTTATCGGGTTTGGGTTCTCTATCTAGTACTAGCAGTAACCTCAAAGGTTAATTCTTCCAGCTGGTTCTCATATCATAGTGATTTATCAAGCCGGAGTTGACATGAATGTGCAATGAAACAGTGTAGTAGTAAGAACATCATCTTTGAGTATCAAGGAGTATTTACATTGTTTGATAAGATTAACATTTCTCATACCAAGGAGTGTTAATTTTGCAGTGGCGTGTTGGTGAAAAAGGAGCTAGCTTTTTAATGCGTGAGCTGAATTTCAGCTAACGCCAGCACATGGGGAGTGTTGGCGTGCGCTGACCTGGATGACGAGCAGATTGGGCGAGCCGAGATCCTCCCTGAGATCGGCGACGAGGCGCTCCATGTTGCCGCCGTAGGCGCGGGCGTCGTCGACCTCGACGGTGTCGCTCTCGCCCTGGAACCACAGCACGGCGCCGAGCGCCCCGCCGCCGCCCGCCACGGCGGCGCGCGCCCTGGCGACGGCGGCCTCGTACAGCGGCTGGCCCCTAGCCCACATCCAGATCCTGGTGCCGCCGACCGCGCAGGGGACGAGGCCGAGCACCAGCGGGTCGGAGTCCTCGCCGGCGGGGTCGGAGACGGCGGAGGGCGCGGGGAGGGAGGAGGGC